CTAGATACCCTTCCTAAGATAAAAATCCATGTTATGTTTTATTGTGATTGTCCTTGAGGGAATGGAAATAGCCACAGACATTGCTGCATGGATTTCATACGGATAATCTTGTTGCTTTGGCTTTTGATAAGGATCAAGGTCTTGTTCATGTTAATTACTTGGAGGCACCGGAGGTGCTGAGTTTTAATTATAAAAAGAAAGAATTTAATTAATCGTAATTACATATATTAAATAAAACTTTACAAGGCTCATAGCGATGACCTAATAGGCATCAATTATGAGGAACTGCATCTGGAATATTGAAGCACACACCGGATCTCTTTTTCCTGTAATAGGTAAGTGCTTGTGGTAGTTTGAATGTAATTGATCCCCCATAAACTTATAAGGATTGCCACTATTAGAAGGTGTGGCCTTGTTTGAGTAGTTTCAGCCTTGCTGGGGCAAGTCTGCCACTGTGGGGGTGGGCTTTGAGGATTCCTATGCTCAAAGTGCACCCAGTGTGCACACAGATTCCTTCTGCTGACCACGGATCAAGATGTAGAACTCTCAGCCCCTTCTCCAGCACCACGTCTGATTGCATGTCGCCGTGTCCCACCATGATGATAATGGACTGAACCTCTGAAACTGTAAGCTACCCCAATTAAATGTTTTCATTTGTAAGAGCTGTGCTCATGGTGTCTCTTCACAGCAATAGGAACCCTAAATGACAGCTTTGAAAATTTTTTTTCCTTTCATATAAGTATAAGTTTACATTACAATTATCTGAACACAGAAGTGTATAGACCACTGTTCATGAGTAGAATACTTAGTATTCTTTATAGGTATTAAGCGACGAATATGTACATTCTTTCAAGTTTATGTTGACTAATTGTTGTTAACTTACTGAGAAAAAGGAGGCTCAATCATGAAGAACTGGGGCTTTTCTTTATGTAGAAAATATTCTAGAAATATCACACTTCGATTTCTTTGAAAATATTTGGAATATGATTTCCTCCATGTCTCGATTTTTAAGCATGGTAGTTACCCTCACTTCTGCCTCTGAGGCTGTCAGTGAGCCAGAAACGGCCATTCAGTGGTGAGGCCTTCTTGTGGACCCAGACCACAGGACAGGGAATAAGATCTCCTGGCTTGCATTCCAGGCTCTGAGATTAGTTAACCATTTTTTATTACTTGATGCATTATTGCATAGTTTTGTTTCCTGGGCCTCTTAAATTTAAGTGGTCTAAAAAATACAATTGTCATTTAATATAGTTTTAAAAGCAGAAAGTGGGTCAGGCATGGTGGCACACGTCTTTAATCCCAGCACTACAGAAGGAGAAGGAGAAGGATCTCTGTGAGTTTGAGTCCAATCTTCCCTATATCATCTTACATAGTGAGTTTCACGCCAACCAAGGCTACATAGTGCGCCCCTATCTCAGAAGAAGAAGAAAGAAGATGAGGAGGAAGAGGAGGATGCTCTTTTAGAATACCAAAAGCCATCTTGCTTGTTTTGTGACCACATTTTGCTGGTTAGCTCAGGCTGACCTAAGACTCCAGAGAGCTCTGTCTCCGTGTTCCCAGCGTTCAGATAATAGGCACAGACCACAACCTGGCTCCATGAAATACTTATCCACTGAAAAGCTGAGAGCAGAGAACCATGGAAAGTGGCTGGCGTTGGGTGCCGTGTCCCTACGTTCCTCTGAAGGCTGAAAAAGGAGGAACTTTAGTACAGGATGTAAATGGAGAAACTGATGATAAAACAAACAGTTCAGCTTGTATGAGATCAGAGAAGCAGCTCAGAGTGCTTGCTGCTCAATCAGGAGAGCCAGAATTCAGAACCCATCAGATGCTCACAAAAGTCTTTAATGCCCTCTTTTGACCTGTATGGGCAACACACACACACACACACACACACACACGTACACACACTTGTGTGTGTGTACATACATTCACACAGACAATACTCTGAGCCATGATCACCCACACATAAATGAAATTTTTAAAAATTTTAAATTAAAATTGCTAACAAATCACTTACATAGCATTCGAGTACCACTTAAACATATTTTTTCTTTACTTGTGGAGATTTTTCTGGCTGTGGAAGAATAAAGGAGAGACAGGGCACCACTTTCATGTCTTATCTGTGACATGTGTGGTGGTGGAGGGTGTTCACCCCTCTTAGCTGGGCCTCCTTCACCTAATTTATTAGGTTGATAATACTCAGGGTTTTTCTCCGGTTTTGTATTCTAAGACAGAGTTTCACCAGATAGTTCGACTGGCCTGAAATTCACTATTTAGATCACTCTGGCTTCGAACTTAAAAGAGATCCACCTGCCTTTGCTTCCCAGTGCTGGGATTACAGGCGCTGCTGCCACACGTAGCTCAGGGTTTTGAAACAGTCTCTATTTAGGCCCTGTTTAAGGGACTCTAATGAGGCTCTCTAGCAGTCTGTAGGCTAACTATGTCATTGTATCAAACTGTTTCCTTATCTTGACTATGGCACAAATACAGCACTAAATTTCTGCCTCATGTCTTCAGAACTGAATAGCTATTCCCTGCACTCCTATGTCCTTCTGCAGTACGTTCATTTGCTTATACCATTGAAAAGTCCAGTGTCTTACTGAGGTCTAGCCCCAACCTCTGCATTCTGGCACCTGCTGCCATACCTGCCAACGGTGCATTCTTTCCTCTGGTCTGCCACCCAGCCACACCCTGTCCCTTCCCAGGATAGCTGCCAGCTCCTCAATACAATGGGCCCGCGCATCCGTCAATCAGTCTCTTTTGGACTTTTGCCCATTGATTGCTTCAGACTCCTCAACACTCCCTTCCGTTTCCCAAGACAATCAGCTACTTCTGGATCCTGGCGAAGGTGCTCTGTCAGCCCACAAGGCCTCATGAATATGTAGGTCAGTGTCCCCAGACGGATGCAGGCTGAGGCGAGCTCCAGCGCCCCCGTGCGAGCACTTTTTAGTAAAGGTTTTTACTGAAGGCCACACAATGGCCTTCACAGAAGGTTTTCCACTGAGACCATCGCATGTCTTTTGTGGTCAATAAAGTTTAACAATCTCGGAGTTTGGTGTACTTCCAAATGCACGAGCAAGATGACCAAGGCCCATAGAACAGGAATTAAAACAAAACACCCTACCTCATAAATAAAACAAAAATGAACTCTCAAAGATACAAAATGTTCAGTTAACTAAACAATGGAGCATGAAGCATTTCACCCAGGATTTAATGACCGCAGGAGACAATTTGCCATGTCTAATGGGGGATGACATGAGACAATCATTAATAATACTGTTCTACTAACTCAATGTCTAAACTCAGAAAATCCCACCCCCATCCCAAGAATCCCAGGCATGATTTTGTTGTACTGTTAGAGTTACCAAACGACCAAGTGAACTTTCACATGAAATCATGGCCTTCTTATTTGATTGAGTTCTTTGGTGCTAAATGGAGTGCTTTTGGTCAGTTTTGAAAAGCGATGTATTTGCTCTATATTGCTGTTGGAAGATGCTCTTTTGGGCATAAACATAAATTGGACCGTGTAGTTTCAAAACCAGTAGCACTGTTTTGAATAGAATATGAAAATATTTCTCATCGATTATTTGTCCCTAAAATTGATAGAGTTTTTTTTTAAACTGAACTAGAATCTGAAAGAAACAAATTGCTCTGAAAAATACATAAATGCAGATTACAGAACAGCCCAGTAAATGCATTAAGAAGGTGTCTACTGCCCCCTGCTGTCTGTTTCTTAAAAATATCAAAAATTCCAGTGAAAATTGACACTAACGTAGCAGGGAAGCAGCACCCATGTTGTGTTCTGAGCAATGGTGGTGAGGTAAGGACCACAGCTGGCCATGTGTGCATGAGAACACACAGGAAGACCCGAAGGATGAAGTCCGTCTTGACTTGCCATCACCCTTGTCCACCTCATTATTTTCTAAGTTAAATTATTTGAATTTGCTTTTACACATTCACACGGTTTGGATAAAACATTCAAATAAATCAATGAATGCTCATTTTTATAGTTTAATCCCAACTTGCAATTAAGAAATGAGGTATAATAAAGAGACCTGGTAACACGAGGCGCAAGGCCATAGTAATTCATTATTGTTTTACATATGGTTTAATTCAAACATCATAAAATAGAATGTGATTTCTTATTACACTTTCCATCTCAAGGATGAAGACACTAAGTATCAAGTGTCCTCATTTAAAGGACAGAATGAGTCCAAGGAATACTTCTAATTGCAAGCCCTGCAATATTGTCTAAGGTTCCTCTCCTTAACTTCCCGTTCACAGGAGAAGGTATACATCCTATAGTTTAGAAGGAAGAGTTTACAGAAATCATCACAGTGATGGTTTGAGGCTTTTTTGACCCTAGGTCTGCATTGCCATCTTTGTCTGGGCCCTGCTCTGGTGTCCAGGACTAAGCTCAGCTGTGTTCTGGACTTGGCTTATTGTTCTTCCGTACAGAAATTCTCCCTGCTCTGGTTGCATCTCTTTGGAGTTGGGGGTGTTGTGTTTGTCCTTAGTCAATGCCTTGGACTGATGTTTACTTGGGGTTCATCTCTGCTTGACCTCCACATACTTTCAACTCTGCACCTCTGAGGAACTTCTAACTTTGGAATCATTTTTACCTTCTTCAGTGGCTCTTGACCAAAAACACCTTTCTTATACTTTGGATAAGTCATTTTTTACATTTTATACCCTCTAGGTTCTGTAAAATCTGAACTCTCTACAACAGCCTGCTGGTACTTCTCATTCCCTCATCAAGCCCATTTGCCTTTTGAGTAGACAGATTGGGCTCTGGCAACAGCAAAACGCGTCCCACTTGGGACACCTGGTACCTGGTAGTGCTGGCTGCTTGGCAAGCTTCTTTTGTCTGGGAGGTTTTTGAGGAAATTCTACTACAGAAACCAGAAGATTAGCCATCTAAGAACTCGCCCTTTTTCTCCCCAAAGTAGCACCAGAAGTCAACAAAAATTACTGGACCTTTATAATAAAAGAGTTCTTACCTGACTTGGGGCGTTGGGTTTCCAGTGACTCTACACTCCAAATAAACTCTGCTTCCTTCAGCGACTTCTTGGCTCCTTAGCTTCTGGATGAAGCGAGGTGCAGAGGGCAAATGGGGGGCTTTCTGGGGCTGTGGGTGAGGGATGTGGGTGTGTGCCAAGGCCTCTTCTGGGGCCTGTTGGGCCTGGTAGCAAAGGCTGCCCTGGGCTAGCTTGACCTCTGCTTCCATCTCCTGTTGGTCTAGCTGGTCTCCAGTGGGGCTCTGACTGGCCGAGGGACTCGTCAGGGTTGAAGGTTGATTTTTAGGAGACAGATACCCACTGTCTGGTGATGAGGACTCACCATTTGGGCTTCTGTTTCTTGGCTTGGCTGCCTCTCTAAATATGGAAGTCAGCTCCTCAATGAAACTAGCTGCCTTGTCGCAAAGTTGGTTCTGGGAGCCGGCTTTGCTTTGTGGGGCAGCTTTGGGCTTTGCACTTGGATTGGGAATTTTTGTACCTCGTTTTTCAGCCTTGCGAAGGCTCCGGATGTAGCTGGGGCTGGCCAGCAGGGGTGATACCCCAGGTTTTCTCCTTGAAGCTGGGGAAGTGATCTTTTCAACATGCTCCCCTGCCAGAGGCTGGGCAGGTGCTGGCCTGTTATGCTGAGGTCCTTCTGACGGAGTCTGCTCGCTGGATTTGGTCTCCTCGTGGGAAGGAGTTTTGCAGAGGTTTTTAGAAGATTTGCTGAAAATCTGCGAGATCTCCTTTTCGGAGTCAAAGTCTTCAGTTTCAGAGTTGTCTATAGCTCTGCGGGCCAGGTCGAGACTTTTGTTTATTTCTTCCTGGCTGAGAAACGCAGAGAGCCCTGGGAAGAAGTCAGCACTTTTGCCCTCTTCCTGCACGTCTGATAAGGAATCATAGAAGGAGTCGTGGGAGGAAGTCTCTGACATTTTTGAGCAGCCTCCACACACTCACACACGTAGCAAGTAGGAGAGCTAGAGGGAGGCACAGGAAAACTGTGTTCTTGTTTTCTGAAAAACAACATAGAATCTTCATCAGTGCTAATAATCCTGATTTGTTTTATATCCCTAATAACAATCAATTGAAGGAAACATGAGGGTGAACAAATATAACAATCTTCTTTATTCTGTAAAGGGAAAGAAAGCTCAAATAGTCATGTGTTCACAACTTAAGACTAATTAATTATTTATTTTAGATACAGGGTTTCTCTGTAGCTTTGGAGTCTTATTGACCAGCCTGGCCTCGAACTCACGGAGATCCACTTGCCTCTGCCTCTAGAGTGCTGGGATTAAAGGCGTGTGCTACCACTGCCTGGTATTTATTTTAGGTTTTTAAGATAGTATCTTGCTAGCCTGGCCTTGATCACATAATCTTGTCTTGGCTTCCAGGTCTGAGGCCTACAGGCGAGGGTTACAATGCCTGGCATGGTTGGTAATTTCAGGTTAACATACACCCTGTAAGGAGTGCAGAACATCACAGTAACTATGAGCTAATGATTCCAGGAAGATGAGGTCTTCAGAAGGCACATAGCTTACACATGTACACATGTAGGGAGCTGTTTCCCTCATCACATACCTCCTTAGGGGTCTCACTTCAATAATGCTTTCAGATAAGTACTTGATAATATTAGTAACTCTGACTGTCCTAATTTGATTTCTGTTACTTAGTAAACCCTACGAGTAGAAGCAATGTGGGGAGGAAAAGGAGTATTTGGCTAATGGGTCAAAACCATCATGGTGGGAAACCAGGGCAGAGCCTTAAGCAGGAACCTGGAGACAGGAACTGAAGCAGAGACCCTGGAGAAACGCTGCTTGCTGACTTGTTCTCCATGGCTTGCTCTGCTCACTTTCTTACATGGCGTAGGCCCACCTGCCAGTAGTAGCTCCACCCACAGTGGGCCACGCCTTTCACATTAATCATAAAACCAGAAAACGACCACAGGCCAATCTGATGGAGTTACTTCCTCAATTGAGGTTGCTCTGATTATGTCAAGATGACAAAGTTAATCAGCACACTGACTTTACTCATATGGCCCCATCCATAAAGGACAACTGAGTAATTTCAATTTTTATCCATTTAATAACTATAAATAGAAAGACCAAATGTTTTTATATTTATAATGTATTTATTTTTGTCTTAATAAATTGTCTCAGCCTTTCTTTGTGTGCTGTCATCTTCATTCATATTTGTTCATTCAACGTTATTCTAACAGATGCTCACTAACATCCAGGCAAAATAATCAAGTATAAAACAAATATACATGTAAGATTTTATTTAGCTAATTAATGATGAGACCATTAAGAGTTTACAACCATTTCAAAGAAGCACCGAAGACTAGATATATGCAAGTGATTATGAATACTTAGATTTTTTGGTGGACTTCCAACTGGATAATATCTATAGATCAATAAAATGCAATGTTTGGAGTCATACATAAAGCAACTCAGTATTATTTTCACCATAAAAATTATATATCTGTGAACAAGTGTAATCTTCATTGCCAATAGATTCCTACAATGTAAAGATTTATAAGATCTCCTAAAGATAATGTAAGGCACAGATATGCAAGGCATAAATATCCATATAGAATCAAATATCTAGCACCAGGGCCTACCCAGTATTTTATTGAAAGAGTACCCCAAATACCTATTTAAGAACCAATTATCATTTTCCCTGAGAAAGCAGGTTGATTTGCTCAGCACAAAGCTCCTAAATATGATCACTGAGTATTGTTGCTAACATTTGGGCACACTCAGCTCTTAATGTGAGGAGGAGCAATATCAAAAGCAGTGTGAACTTAGAAAATTCAAGAAGATTGGAAGGGAGTGGAATATTGAGCTAATTGTACACTTGGGTACTGTGTTGTCTAGGTTTATGTCACTTCAATACATTTAATTAGAATTATGGGCGAGGAGAGAGTCTCATTTGAGAAAACACCTTTCTAGGACCTTGCTGTAGGCAAGCCTGTAGAGTATTTTTTTAAATTAGTAATTGATGTGGGAGGGTTGAGCCTATTGGTGGCTGTGGATTCTATAAGAAAGCAGGCTGAGCAAGCCATGAGGAGCAAGCCAGTAAGCAACACTCCTCTTTAGCCTCTGCATCAGCTCCTGCCTCCAGGTCCCTGCCCTGTTGGAGCTCCTGCACTGACTTCCCACAGTGATGGGTTGTCACATGGAGGTGTAAGATGAATAAGTGCTTTCCTTCCCAAGTTGCACTTGGTCATGGTGTTTCATCATAGTCACAGAACAGTGACTAAGACATGTACAAAGGCCCAACTGATTGCATTTTAATTTCTTTGAAATTTTCTTTTTCTTTGGAAGAGAAGCCAATAGACTTATGGTCTGTAACAAAAAAGATTTTATTTAAGTTATTGATCTATGACATATAGAACAAGCTAAGATAAAAATCCACATAGATTAGTAAAATAAAATTTTGATTCTTGAAGTGACACACTTGAGATTTGAACTGGGTGTTTTCATAGATATGACTATCTGTGTTTAATTTAAAATGTGTTTACTAAACATCAACACCTGCTGAGGAACACACACATACACATATGTATCATTCAAAAGGACAAGCTTTTGCTTTCATAAACTCAGCAGATATGAGTCAGTAATAAACACATATATTTAATGTGCCAAGTTCATGATAGGAGAAAAATAAACTATTATGATACCATCTAGAAGGAAAACAATGTTTCATGGGAGAAATGGGGCTGAAAGAATGACACATGTTGACTGGGCACAGAGATGATACACACAGGACTGCATGCTTCTACAAGCATGGGTCAATTCATTAAATTATTTTTGATATGTGCAGAGAAATATCTTTTAAGAAATAAGTTCTGTTTTTATCTGAGCCTTTTTTACTTGAGGAGTCTCTGGTCTTCCTCAAAGTATAAGATACTGGTCTAGTGCTCAGGGAAGGAGCAGAGCTGGGCTGGGAATCCTTCAGTCATAGGATGAAAAAGACTGTCAAGGAAGAAAGGAGGAAAGAAAAAGAATCCACCCACTCCCAGAGTTTTGGCAGAAAACAAGAACAGGGAACCCTGGAAACTGGAAAAGAAGGTATCTCTTGGAGGAGACAGTGACCTTTTGGCTATAGCAACCGGGAACACTTGCAGCACTAGAAACAGCAGTTTGGGTGTCTGCAACAGAGACAGAAGCCAGATTTCTAGAAAAATATAGAAAGTACAGACTGTATGTGCCCTCAATGGCTTGGAGATTTATAGAGAAGAGAAAAGACAACAAGAAGGTAGTCCCAGAACCTAAAGGTAGACTCCAGTGAGGAAGGAGAAGTGTTTGTTTCTATTTTTGTTGTTGTTTTTAGCATATAGCATTAAATGTGTTTAAATGTTAATGGAATTACTGAGCTCGTAGGGGGACGTGAAGCATGTGTGTTAAGAAGTGAGGATGACTTATAGCCATTGCGTTTAAAGATTTGAGAAGATTATAATACAAAGGGGATACTCAGCTTCAAAGGAGAAGACTGGAGAGGAGAGAGAGAGAGAGAGAGAGAGAGAGAGAGAGAGAGAGAGAGAACAAGAGTGAGTGAGTAAGAGAATGAATATCTGTATAAATCTGTAACTTTAGCTTGAAATTGCTGTGCAGTTTAGAATTTACATGGACAGGAGATTCTTGAAATACTGGTCAGGAAAGGAAAGAGGTCCTAGGAGGATGATTTACCGGCAGGGGTGGGGTCTTAACTGAAGTTGGATGTGATGTATTTATGGTGTCATTAATTGGAGTGACCAGAATATTCTCTCTAACAGAGCTCAGCAGTCCAAGGACAGGTCTAGGAACAGAAGACCCAGGTCTTGACATTCAGGTGACATGGAAGGAGAGTGGGCACAGCCACTGAGAAATTGGTATTGCATTGGGATTCCTGGGTGAAAGTCGAATTTTAAGATTAACAGTCTAAAGGCCCAGTGGAATAAAGTACGCGCACAGTTAGAATAGTGAAGAGAGGAGCTCAGGATGAGGTACGGGGCAGGGTGGTGCTGTTCCGTATCTTAGAGAGAGAGCTTTTCAAACTGAATCTTGGTTTCAATTTTAAAAATAATAGTGCTATTTCTTTTTAAATTAATAAAAATAAGGTGTATGATGTGACAGTTACAGTAGCCTATGTTTAAAACATGGGATTGGAGTGTGTTTAAAGTGTGTGATAGGGATGCATACAGTAGAATCCTATAATGACCAATCATTACAATAGTCTTATCATCTTGTGAGGTTCTATTTTATTTCCTTCTTGCTGAGAACACTTAAATTTACCCACTTTGCTGAAGGTAGTCTACATACATACAGCCTTTTTTGGAATAGTGTCAGTGTTGTGTAGTTGAAACAATAGCACATACATGTGTATACACACACACAGATGTATATTCCATAAAAGGTAGAGTTTATCTAGATTTTTGTTTTTAAAAATTGTCCACTACTGCTAAGAACATTAGCTACATAATGAATTCATACATAAAGACTAATAACAGTCAATGGTGACCTTACTAATAATAGTCATGACTAATGGTGGACCTCTCACCTGGAAACAGGCTTTGTACCAAGAATCAGTGTGTAAACTATTTTGCTCATGATTCTCACAACAAGCACCAGGTTTGAAAGAAGAAGACAGGCATATCTACAATAGAGAGCCAACACTCAGCCCTGCATGGTTGCGCATGCCTGTAATCCAGTATTGGGGAGGTGGGAGGCAGTGGCAGGAGAGACTCAGCAAGTCTGAGCCCAGCCTGTACTACTGAGAAAGTTCCAGGCTAGCCAGGGATCCACACTGAGATCCTCTGTCTCAAAATCCCCCCATCAAAAGAGAACCAAGATTCATGTCCAGTGAGTCCAGAGCTCAGTGTTCACCATGTACTTTAGCAAGATTACATTACAGTTTTGCAGGCAAGATTCCTAAACCATGTATCATATTAATAAAACAAGCTCTATCCATCACTAACCCCCTTACAATTTAGTATAAGAGGAGCACACTGTAATGCATTTTAAAGCCTCAGGGA